TAACTTTGATTACAACAATCGGTTTTTTCCATTTCAAATGAAGACTAATATTGCATTAATGCTATTTTTTGAATCATTGCAAACTTGTTTTATATTGTTTCTGACACTTAAGATGGAGTATTTATATATCATCATCATTGTGCACACATAACAATGATATCCGATATGAAGGCGTTATTGACTCAATCCTGTCTAATGTTAATATCATTTTTTTGCGGAGATTACTTAGTATAAAGCTGTTGTGTTCCAAGGAAAGACATGACCTATTTATAAAACTTTAAACGCTTGACCTTTACAACTCCAAAGATGGAGGCTTTGAAACGAAAGGAGAAAATGAAAAATAGTATTACCAATTCGTCCTATTTTAAAACGGCTGAACACAGCATGTTTGTGCTGACAATAGAAAGACTATTATTTAAAGATAGCGCGAAACAGAACATTCTAAACCCCGCGGGCCACAGCAAAGGGGAGAAAAAGAAGGAAAAGCACGCGACAAATTTAAACAGGATGTTAGCTACTTCATGCACCCTTGCGTGATTTTCTATGCCGACTTCTGATTTGATGATATGGTGTCAAGTTTTGATTGGACGGCGCGAAATAGGGAGTCAAGATTAGTCACGCACTCACGTGATCTCTGCCCCAAAAGATGTTGAGCCATTACTATATATGTGATGTCATAAATTAAACATTGAATGGAAAAAGTTTGGGGATAGACTGCTGAGTATTCCAGGGTTTATATGTCAAGATCCTCGTGGTATAGAATGGGGATACTGTTTGCCAGTTGATTTTATTGTAACTTTTATCAGTAAAGCATTACTTGACAAATTATGAAAATGGATTCACTATTGTAACTTAACTTCCATTCAAACCAAAGTTCACTTCGTTTTATCAGCGCCGAATGTATTCTTAATCTTCACTTTTTATTTAATCATAAACTTTGATTCATACAAAAGCAATAAAAATTACATTTCTCCTTTATGCTTTTTTTCATTTATTATATATACTACTAATACATACTTTTGTGCTAGCTACTTGGGGTACCGCACCGTTTAGTAAGTCATGCTGATCAACATAAGAATGCTATTGATGATATGAAGACCAAGATCGTGTGGCCTTTTGTGTGGTCGCAGTCTCCTTATGTTGTATAGAAGTTGTTTGACCTTGTTTTCGCAACTTGGTCATATTGGTAGGATGACTTAGAGGAACTCACCAAGTCCGAAGTCCATTCTATACATGATAATGTCCAAAGTCGGACTGTGGACATGGTACATTCCCAGACGTTTCGCTGGCATCGTCAGTGACTCTTGTCAATCTTAGCACCATACTACAACTGTCAAAGAGATTAGTGGAGCTGATCCTTAGACCAAATGTGTGCTAAACAGTTATAGTATCTCCCATTCTGCCCTGGCCTATTCACATTTCCTGTATCCTCCAATCACGCCTTCACTGTCACAATTTTTACCGTGCTTATTTACATGTGTGGTGTGCCCTTTGAGCGGCTTTCATGAGAGCCCTGCACACTCCACGCTGGCTTTCTCACCCCCTTCACTCTTGTGCTTAGAATGTTGATCAGAGTCCGCCATATTGTTACGCAGTCCTCCTTCCCTAGGTCTTATCAGAGTCTCCTTGCCCCGTAGGATCCGTCTGCTATCTCTTTTTTGAGTATTTCACTCGACCCCTTCCACCCCAGCTGTGTTCTACGAGGCGTTAACACCCATCCCCTGCTTCTGGTTGACTAATTCGAGGCCAAAGCCTCTGAGTAAGTCTCATAGTCAAGCCTTTGCCTTATGGACCACGTCTATAGTAAAACAAGTCTACGACCAGTCAACTAACTCTAGTCTTCGCCGCGTCTATCCCTAATACCGAGTCTATGACTTGCTATGCCATAGTCTCTTGTGTGCTAACCTACAAATATTGTCGTACTGCTTGCTTTGATTAGGTTCATTTTTGAACTTGCCCAACTTGTCCATGTAAACATTTTCCAAAAGAGGTGATAGTGGATATCCTATCGGTAGACCAAATATTTGCTCGTAGATACTGCCGTTAAATGTAAAATACGTCGTCCTTACTGTCAGGTTGATCAGTCGTGTTAAGGATTCTTTCCGTATCCGTTCTGCCTCCAGGATGTCCTCTTCTCGCTCCAATATCTCCAGCACGGTGCTTACTGCCTTCTCACCTAAGATGTTTGTGTACATGGATTGTACATCGAAACTCACCAACAGTTCCGACCCCACTAACTGAATTGTTGCAAACATGATATCGCTTCCAGATTCTGTAATCTAATGAAGAAGTGTCATTTTGGCACAGTTAATGAAATACTTTATTACGCCTCCAAGAAATAAGAGGAAAGTTACGAGATTGAGAGGCGTAAGCTATTTAATTAAAAATATGAAGAACAAGATGTGGCCTCTGGTATGGTCACAGTCTCCTTTCGATATGTGGAAGTGGGTTGACCTCGTCGCAACTTGGTCTTGTTGTCAGGCCGACTTGGTCAAACGCACCTTGTCCGAAGTCATCTTCCATACTAGTTGTCGTGATTCCCAGCATCAGACAGTGGTCTTGGTACATTCTAAAACGTTTCGCCGGCATTGTAGTCGGCATCATCAGTCAGTTTTGCCATTCGCCGCACCAAGTTACGAACTCGTCAAAGAGACAAGTGAAGTCAATCCTTCCACCATCGTTCTGCCGAAAACGGTCACACTATTACTCCTCTTTGTCCTGGCCTTGTCTCTTTGGCGTGTCTGTAGCTTGGTGCGGAGAATGGCGAAAGTCACTGATGATGCCGGCGAAACGTTTGAGAATGCACCAAGTCCACTGTCTGATGCTGGGAATCATGACAACTACTATGGCAGACGACTTCTGACTAGATGCGTTCTATTAAGTCGGCCTGACAACAAGACCAAGTTGCGACAACGAGGTCAACCCCTTCTGTAAGCTATTTAAGTTCATAGATCTCAAGTCTAGATTAAGAAAGAATCTAGGTAGGGGTCTCACTTTGGATGAATTTCCAAAAAACTCTAGAGCATGACT